AGAATCTTGCTCTGAGAGCAAAACTATGAAACTTCTGACGTTTGGAGCAAACTTGACGTACGCACCCTCTCAAGGTCATAGTTTACAGCAAGCGCTCTACGATTTCACTTTATAACAACTATCAACTTAATAAGTTGGGAAGCATTTTGCGAACCAACAAATGTTGTAATTTATAGATCATGCCTGTAAAAACGGTGTGTACCTGCACATGCAGAAATATATTATTATTATTACTTCATGTGTTCAAATGGTTGTGGACTGAATAGAAGCTTTCGCTTAACAGGCTTCCGTGTCTAGTGGCAGGGGATTACCAAAACCTCCAGGCAGGAACCTAGGTATGTTAACAATAAAAGAGGAAAAAGAAATTGGTAAATCATAGTATGATACTATCCTTAATCCTTAAGAATAGATCAAGTTGCCTCTTAAAGGACTCCTGAGAAGTCGCTTGGACTAGCTCGGCGGGCAGCGAATTCCAGCATTTGACAACTCCTAAGGAGTAGAAATTGTGCCTACAGTCCATTCTGCTATGTTGTGTCTCTAGTTTCTGGGTGTTACCCCTTAGGTTAAAGTTGGGACTAAGCTTAAGTAGGTGTTTAAGAGAATGTCCAGAAGTGTTAAAGACACTGTTAGCCATTAGAAGGTCACCTCTAAGACGTCTATACTCTAATGGGTAGAGGTTAAGTGATTGGAGGCGTTCTTCATAAGGTGATTTGGTGCATATCTTCGTCATCTTCTTGGGAAACCTACAGACTCGGGTCCTCTCACAACTTATTCTAGCCAACATGAGTTGTTACGGCAGCTGATGGATGGACACGCGTTACACATCCTAACCATCCGTGCGTCTAATCTCATAGCTTCTTATTCAGATGTCATATGATAAGCAAGTGATGCCTCCACCGACACTAATGGAACGCGAGTAACTCAAATCCACCCTGTATGGTACCTTACATTGGTCTTCGCACTCACTTAGCTCTTTAGTGAGAATATTACTACAGTCGTGCTAAAAATCCCATGAACCCTCCTACCTTCATCGAAACAAATAAGTCTGTATTTGCTGCATATAGCAATTTTATTTTTCTGAAGTAGGATATAACAGTTAGAATTAGAGTAAAATGGCAGTATACAGCAGATGCACGTGGTACATGTCTTCATCGATTAACTGAAATAGAGAATACGGATTTTAGCTTAACAGGCTTATTTAGAAAGACTATTGTCTACTTTGAACGTACTGCGTGAGAACGTTATACTGGAACTACGAATAATGTAGGAATCTAGTCTCCCAGGACGTACGAAGCACTCAAACTGGAAGACAGTTTTCCGAAAATAATTCGAATATGAAGGTGAGAACTTGCAGGTACTTTTCATTGTTAGGGTGAACATATTAGGTAACGGTTGACATCATACCGTAAAAAAAACACAAATTTGCGAGTGGTGAGATATGATCTATAAAAACGTGAGCTTAATAACAGTTAATTACTTTTTTACTCCCTGATCATGACCCTTCGGCTTCCTTTTATGGCCAAAACAGCAAATATACACTACACACTAATAGCAGATTTCCGGCTTTTCAATGTTAAGCTTGCTTTAAAGCACTACGTAATGAGTACAACCTCTCCATTACTGCTATATGGAATATTTTTTATAACAAACCCTCTGCAATAGATTGGTAGCATCTGTGACTTCGTCTATGGTTGTCGGAAGTCTGGGTCCTTTCAAAAACAATACTGATATCCCCTACTGCTAGGCACTAAGTATTAGTTTGACTCGTCGGTGGGATAGTGTTGTCCATAATACAGAAGAAAATTAAAAACCGGAGACTGTTTCCTTTCATTTTGCCGATAACGTCATAAAGGACAGTTAGGAACGAACATGCGGACAGTTAGTCATAGGCAGCAGCAGCAGCTAAAAAACGAACTTCGGCTTTGGATATCTAGAAAACAAGTCAAAACAAAACCGATTACCATTTTAAAACATAAGACTAGCCAGGTTGGCTGAAGAAATACATTGACTTGTGTAGAAGCAGCAAAAACCCAAATAACAATGCTGATTCGAAGTAAATTTCACACCAACATATAGGACATTACACTAACTGCGGCATTTTAGCACACTGAAACATTAAATTACATAGCTACACAAAAGAAATAGCTAAAAAAAGCACAGAACGAAGAAAGCCAATCGCCATTGCATACAAAGATGGCGGATATAATAATTCCCGCCTCATTCTGATTGGTTGCTGAGCTGAAGAGCACATTTACGAAACTGAGTTGCGTTTAATTGCAGCCCCTTTGCCAGATTCACATGGATACTCTTATCTCTTAACCTGCGCAGACCGTTTCACTCGATAGCCAGATACAGTACCTATCAAGGACATTACTGCTGCGCCTGTACCCACAATCTAACGGGTTGGTAGGGCGCTTTCACTGACAACCAAAAGCTTCACCATCAGCTGCAAACATTTCTCAGTGGACTGACGCTCTTCCACTCGTTTTACTAGGTATTCGCAACGCAGGGAAGGCTGACATTGGATACACTGCAGCTCAACTGGTTTATGGAACGACACCTCAACTTCCAGGAGAATTCGTGGATCCTTCATCCTCTTCAGTGAACATGGATCTAACCTCCTACACGAACAGACTTAACATGCGTTCAGTTAAACCTGTCTCCACTCGACCTCAACCAACTGATGTTTTCGTTCAAACTAACTTACGATATAGTACACACGTTTTCGTACATCGGAACTCGCATCGACGACCTTTCGAATCAGCATACGAAGGATCTTTCACAGTTCTTCAACGCGGACCTAAGTACTATATAATCGATAAGAACGGAACCAACGACAGCATCAGCATCGATCGCCTCAAAGCGGCATATTTAGAAGGAAATCCAATCCACGTCGATTCTCCTTCGTTGCAGTCGAACGACACGGCTCGGACACTTATAATACCTCATCGGATAGCCAACACGGACGATGATACGTCGACAGTATCTGAAACTAAACTGAAAACAACGTGTTCTGGAAAAAGAGTAAGATTTCCAGAACATTTAAATGACTATTGCATGTAAGACACCAGTCAACATTTTGCTTCATCTCTATTTTCCGTGGCATTTTTATGTAATGTAAAAAAAACAATTTTTATGTTTGTATTTATATATATTTATTATTTTGCTAATAACTATGTTGAAATTTTTTTTAAAAAACAAACAAAAGAAACCGTTTTGTAAAAAATCGCTTTTTTGCGCTATTTTCCATTTTAAACTCTAAAACGCGTACAAGTTTATTTTGACATGCACTTACGTATTGCTTTTCTCTTTTCTAGGACGGCTGGAAAAGATGATAAAAAGAACGATGAGGATTACGATGAACCGAAATTTTCATTGTACCCTGTTTCTGTATTACTATATTGCACTTCATGGTTCCTAAAAGTAAGGAATGACGACCAGACGCTGCTAAACCTAGCAAGCTATCAGAAGAGTGTCTACCGACGACAAAACTCGTTGGGTTTAAACTTCTGGTTGGTCACGTCTCAGGGTCATCATAATTCCCCCACTAGGGGGAGTGAGCCATGGCGGTAAATAAATCTTTAAAATAAATAGCTCTGTAAGTTTCCGACATTAGATGCTGACCACATGTTTTAACGGACTCAACTAGCTGAAGGCGCTCGGTCACGCATCCGCACCAAATCACGAGTGGGAACACCGTGCTCAACAACCCCTGCAATCGCTAGCCAGATTAGATCGGGCGATCCTCGATATATTGATAGCCTGTCAAATATATCTTCGAACCTCCTTGCTTCTGTCTTTCGATTTCACTTGGTGGGTACGATTCATATTAAAAGGTGTTACTAGTTAAAGCGTTGTCGAACTCCGAATACCTATGGCATGTTCAATGTTTAAAGCGTTGTCAAACTCCAAATACCCGTGTCATCTTTACTTTTTTCAAATGGTCAACACAAGGTAGGGAGATTAAGGTAGATATAATTTTTATACATCTAACTTGAGGTTCAATGAGGCCCCAGGCTAAAAGAAGAAAAAGTTGGAATACTACACAGGAGTCGATCGTATTTTTCTTGGTTTTAACTTCAAGCTAATGGCATACTCTTTTTTAAAACGATAATAAGTTCTGAAGACTTACATGGATTGTGATTGAAAAGACATTACTACAATGAAATTCGGGTAAACAATGTCGGTGGACATATAGCCTATCAGCAAAATCAATTCTTCTAGGCGTGTAGCGGCAAAAACCAGTCACTACAATGGTTTATACAACCTACGGTATAAGTGGAATAACGTTACATGAAGTTTCTAATTATTAAAGTCTGGATATTATTTTTAGCAACAACCTTAAAACTACTGGTGACTGCAAAGTGATAACTTTCAAAGAATGAGCTTTTGTTAGTACGTCTTATCTTTTTCATCCATCTGGGCCTAATAATCTGAGATGGCATTTTTGGAAAGTTCAAAAACTGAAATCGAATCTCCTATGTCATTTTCGTTTCAAGCTCGGTGGTAAATTACTTGAACTCCCTACCAGAACAACCAATGCATATGATAAATTCAAAGAGAGAGTGAAGCTCCATAGCACTATAAATCGTGAAGATATGTACAGGTAACTTGGCATCCTATTTTCATTTCTACGGACTGAAAACCAATTCGAACATCCTTCCAAAAAGAGGAGTATGAACCTGATTGATAAATTGAATCCTCAAGTGGAAGCACATTGCTTGGATTAACACGAGTCAATTTACCTACTATCCTTAAAACAAAACACTGAACATCAAGAAGTGTAGTGAACAATATAAGCAGAGCGCCAATATGAACTGGTATGCACCTTCCATAAATCTTATGGGAGCTTGAAGGAATTCGCGCCTGAATTATTCCATGAATGCTTTTGAATGTCAAGGAGATAAGTTTAGATTTTCCCCCATTCTCGGGTTAAGAATTATTGAGGACCTGATATTGAGTATTTCCCATCAACGGTAGCAGTTTTATTCGTGTACTCAATGACTGGTTACAAGAGAGCCAAACTCGGTCAACTAAATAGATTGGTCACTTTGAAAAACAAGATTTCTATACAAAAGCACAATATTTCTGATGCTGCATCCAAATCTATCAGTGATATACACTTTGCGAAGAAGCTGGGAAGCCTACTGGGACAGGCTACATGCACTTCGTATCCAGATCATCAGATAAAATCGATTCTTTGCTCTGTTGATGTGATAAAGAACAACTACATGCGCAGTGGACGTCTCCGCAAGGAAGCATGTGAAACTTCGGACTCCATAATTAATCCTTATGTACCGAAGGGCCATCAAGCACTCTCCGATCTATCTGGCCTTTTAGAACGTGATGTCTCTATTCACTTACCTTTACTAGAGAAGAAGCATAGACCCTTCACTCTCTGTAAAAACAATGAAACTCACCCCAGTCTTGTAGAATACGATCTTTCAGATGATGATATATAACGATCCATTGTTTAAAACGGAAAAATAGTTTGTCCAAATACAAAGTATTTCTCATTTCCGACTTGTTGAACTTGTGTGGGATTTAGCTGACTTTGTAACTTTTGCAGATTTTTATCATTTCCACTACAGCCTTCGTATTTTCTGCTTGCCTGTTATTTTATTGGCGAAACAACAATCCTGGTAGTAGAAAGTCACTTCATGGTTTTAATGTCTTAATTACCGGCGGATCAAGCGGAATCGGTCTATCTCTGGCTAAGCTGTTTTACGGAGCTGGTGCTAATGTAACAATCGTCGCTCGAGACCTGAAGAAACTTGAGTCTGCACGGGAAATTATAAAATGTGGAAAAGATAGAAATAACAATGTCTTTATTTTGTCAGTTGATTTGACCTCAGAGTATAGTGTTCTAAATGAAATCTTCAGTAAACATGTGGCTACTCTTGGTAAGATAATGTAGCACCTTTTAAAATTGTCACTTTAGCCTTGTGGACTTTTAGTTCTGATAACGGACTGTACTAGGACGAATACCACGACATTTGATGCTGGTTTATAACTCGCTGATTTTCCTTCCCGTTCTTACTTTTAGTTTAGATGGAAACCACCAAACACCCCTAACTGTTTTCTCTACCCATGCTTTCAGTAATAACTAATATCAAGTAGCATCTATACGTAGTTTCTGGCATACATACCAACATTTAGTCCAATAAGGAAATAATGAGGATCAGAATGTGTACTAAAGTTTTGTGGACTCGTGATGACCCAGTTGTTACGTCGACAGTTTGTTAGGTGTGGTCGTCGAATTATATTTTTATGTTATTGTAATAAAAAGGCAGGTTCGTGTAGCGTTAACCATTCATTTGGCTTTCTACTTAAAACGTATAATTGAGACTAAGCTTGTTATACACATTTGGGATGGAGATATGTATTTCTTTTATCTAGTCACTTAATTACAACGATATTCTGGTAACTCTGGAGCTCTGAACTTAGTTTAGCTACGTCTGTGTCTATCTCATTTGAGCACAGTAATTAGTAGACTACTAACTATTCGCTTCACAGGATCTTTCACTTACAACTAGACTTATTTAGACCTAGTTTACTAGCACATGATTGTCTGTCAGCTACAACGTAGGACTAGGCATATATGTGCATCGGTCCAAATTGCCATACCTCATTAGCACAACAAGATGAACACCGGTTTCGTAGAAGTAGTTAATTCACTGTTGATAATATATAAGAGAAGGATTGCATATAAGGACATAGTACAGGAAGGAAGAATTAGTTCGTAGAAAAAAGATACGAAGCGATTTTAATCTCATAGTTTAAGGGAAGACAGAGTGTATACATCGACTTCAATGTGGTCGATTCTGAGCCATGTCACCCAGAGTCTCCAATCATTGGTTACGATAGTCACGCGGACCCGGACCGAGTACTCTGCATCTGCGAACGTGGCCCAGACCAGAAGCTAGTGACTTCAAGCGCTTATGCCACATGATTGTCCAGAGTTAGTTGTGTAGATTTGTGTAGTGTCATTACTATCCTCAGTATGTTCTACCCAGGGTTGCAAAATTGCTGCTCAAGAGCTTAGTTATAGATTCAGTAATTATTAGAACAAGTGAGAAATCGTTTCAACTCACATGCTTATCAATTATGAGCTTAATGTCTAGTCCTGTTCCTATTTCTGTCTTGGCATTTTCGTTGATGTTTGTTGGGACTTCTGTTGAGATTGTCCGCTGTTTCTTATGTGACATAATTAGCGGTTAAAGAAAAACAATTTGAGTATATCTATCTTTTAATACTAGGGCAGTAGTATAGAGAAATAATGAAATCACCAAAACTGTGGGTACGTACCACACTAATGACCTAAATACTCATTACGAATAAATGCGTTTTGAAAATTTCGCGTTAATTTCTACAAGACCGTAAGATTTGATTTACTATGTAGTACTAAAAGCATTTGTTCTGTTGTGTGGAACAAGATTCAGTGAGATGTGCCTTTCTATTTTTGTATTCTACACCAGGCTAGTAGTATACGACACAACTATTTAAGAAATATAAAGTATTTATTCTTTTGTACCGAAAGATTTTTATTGGTTTTACGTTAAGGGGCCTGAAGGTTAATATTTTTTGTAAAGTTATGGAAGGTTAAGTTAGATTGAAGACTACTCTTGATGTTAATACAGTATCAGCCAAGTCTCTTTGTTCATGGGTTAAAGTCTTCGTAAATATTCAGTTGCAACACCCAAGCTAGAACTTTTTTTGAGTACCAGTTAACATCTGTCATCATTCCTTTCAGATTTTATCTGTTTTCAACGTTAGATGAGAGCGGTATTGATTACAATTTTCTAATTATAGAACTAATATCATCCAGGGTGACTTTGTGTTTCTATGTATTACAGGATCTGTTGATATTTTAGTGAATTGTGCTGGCTATGCTGTTGCGCGCAAGTTTTTGGATACTCCTACTGATGATATCCAGGGAATGTTACATTTGAATTACTTATCTGCTGTTCATGTGACAAGAATTTTATTGCCTTACATGTTAGACCAGAAATTCCACCAGACTCATGAACGACGCATTGCCTTCATTTGTAGTCTTGCCAGTCAAGTAGGTGTGTATGGTTATGCAGCGTACACGGGTAGTAAATATGCTTTACGTGGTTTCGCGGAGACATTGGAAATGGAGTTGGGACATAAAGGCCCATTTGTAACAATCGCTTTCCCACCCGATACAGACACTCCGGGATACATTGTAAGTTCAACATTCATTTTTCTGTAAATCAATAATCGTGTCAGTCAGTCACAACGTAGAAACTGTTACGTATGTACATCGTATTATATTACTCAATCATCATTCGAATAGTTATTATAATGAATATAACTAACATTTTACTGTCGATGCCAGGACTTCTTCCAATCACATCAAGTCTAGTGAACGTGATGTTGAGTCACTTTAGACTAGTCGCTACTTTGAAACCTGATAGGTAGAGTTCGATCAACACTAAGGACTGTATAACCATGATATTGGTTATTCCTCATTAATCAATCAATGTACTGAGTTTTTGTCAGTTATCAGCTTTGCGGGGATGGTTGGATCCCTAATGACAATGAAGTGAACAACAAGCGCTCAACTACTTCACCTAATGTCGAAGTATTCTCCAGTGTAGACTGATTTTTGAGTAAACGTTTACATTGCGGATAGGCATAGCATTAATTTTGAACATTATTGGGTTGTCAGTCTAGATGTCCAGAGAGTCCATTTTAAGTGAATAGGACTTTTTATGAACTCCGAATCTATAAATGAATTTTCGGGGAAGAAATCTACCTTCATGATCTAAAGAAAAAAAACGCATCACCCCTGTGATAATGCTATTACTTATACCTGCAATCTCTTTATTTCAAAAACCAAATGCTTTTTAGAAGCCATTGTCATTTGGTAAAAAAAAGCACTGAAGTCTTCGTAGTGACTGAATAAATTTGAGCATAATGTTTTCTTCGTCAAACATTGCTAATAATAGAAAAGCCCGATTATAGAATTTTTTCTAATATCTATCTTTCGTTAGTAATAATAATTTGATCTAAAATAATCCCCAAGAAGTTTTCCAAGCTTTTAAATGTGTTGATAGAACTTGTAAACTTTTCAGTTTGTATGTGAAAACTTCGTAACGATAAAAATCATTGGTTACTGTGTAACATAAGTTTAAGTGGTAAGCAATTTCAAGTGTTTTTGGAGTTGTGAAAAACTCCGGTTCTAGTTTCTTTAATTTACGCTTTGATATAAGTGGTTTTTTAGTTGTTATATCATACGAGACTATCTCTACTGATTTGGTTATATAAAACTTTGATAAAGTTAGTTGTCATTGTCTTGAGACTTCCAAGTTCCAGTCTGTGGTTTTGAAGCATCATCGTTTGAATCTATCATGACATTGTCTATCAAAAAATGGACGTTAAAATGGTTTTTATTCTATTCCTTGTAGATGTATTCTTAAAATGTTCATGTTTCCTTGGAATTGGTTATATGGAAAACACAAGTGTTTGCGCGATTAGGCATTATACAATCGGAAATACTAGTTCATGTTTAGTGTTTATCTTTCTCAGACAGGTATTGGGACTAGTTGAATTTTCTTATCACGTAATACATTTATTTGCTGATTTCCATCTACTGTCCAATGTAATTTACACATAATATCATGATTCTTTGACTGAGATAGTTTGGACATGTATTACATACACACAACTATTTACCTCGATACGCAGTGTTAAATGACGTGAATTAAGTTGGAAGAAAGCTAGGGACAGTAAAACTAGGACGTCTCATCCATGAAGTTATTGACTCTTCATCTAAATCATAGTGTTTGAAGTATGCCTACCTGGCTGGAGTCCGTACGATTATTACGTTCAGTGGTTGGAGATACTGAGTGATATGGTTCAAAATTAATCATAGTGATGGAGCTATATTCTCTGCATGTTCATCTCCAGATTCCGAGTTTCAGTATTCTTGTATAACTTTTATTGCGCGAATCCTGTTTGCTTTTCGAATCATTTTCTTTATGGTTAGTCTCATTTACTGCCACTGATACGTCCATTTTTACTACTTGTTGTTTTGAGAACTTATTTTTAATTAATAATTGAGTATAATAAAACATTTCATTCGAAATTTTTAAAAACAAAATTCATATTTTTTAGCGTGAAAATGTTGGTAAACCAGTTGTAACTAAAGCGATATCTGCTACTGCAGGGCTAGCGTCACCGGATGATGTGGCAAAGTCTGTATATTTGGATATAATGAATGGAAAATTGATTAGTACATGTGGATTAGAAGGAGTATTTCTTTCTTGGATAACTGCTGGGATATTTCCTCCTGTAAGTGTACGATGCCGTTATCTTTCTGATTTTATTCCGGGTATTATATTCGCTTGTGTGGAGATTTTAGCTGCAACACCATTTCGTGCTGTTGGAATTGTTTATGCTTTTTGGATGCGATATATTTCGTTTAAATACAATGAATAACACTTGCTGACGTTTTTTACATGTGAAAACCTTTTGTGATCATACAATGTTATTTCGTTATGAATCGTATACTCAGGTTTCCTTTGTTATAATTGCCCATATTTTTATTGTTTTTATTATAATTTTCATTTACTGTTACACTTATAAACTGAACGAAACTTCGTCACTTTATCAAAAGAACTCGTTTTATTAGAAGAAAATTAACTTGCTGCATTGTAGCCTATTGATTGTGAAATTTATTAATTAATGTATATTATATTTCATTTTATAATAAATAAGATATTGTTGTCTAGTTTATGACAAACATATTTCAGTTATTTCCCTTGTTTTTTTACCGAATGTTTATTTTATTTATCTGACAGGTTGCTGAATGTTATCCTTACTATTTTCCAGTCATCAGTAAAACTTACTACCCTGACTGATATTTTTTTTTCAAATTAATGATTTGTAAGTGTCTGCTACTAATTTAAATGTTACTATACAGTCTCTGTATCATTAGTTTCCATCAAATATATCTGATGTATTTTAAATTGGAATTTTCCATAAAGTATATTCTTGATAAGTTTCCTTTACATTGGAACCAACTTTGGGGGATGAAATAATCGTAGATTATAAATGGAATAGAGATTAGTTTTCATTCTCTTTTACTTACTTTCTTTTAAGTTGGGGGGGGGTATTCAGTAAAAAAACTCGTTAATATATATAATGTATCCCATAGTAACAATGAAAATCACAAACGTAAAAGTAGCTTGGTCATATTTTTCAATTACCAAGTTCTCGCCTACCCCACAGTGAGATAGCAATCGGAGTGCAATTAATTTTAAAAATTAAGAGTTGTTGAGTTGGAATATAACACCAGTCCTTGAATTTACTAACTTGATTTAAGTCACGTAGAAAGATGTTGACTTCTCAGATGAGTCACTGGCTGACAGAAATCATTAGTGACATATTTTCGAATGTCACAATAGCGTAAAACCATGCACTATTACCCTCTAAATCCTGATCATTTTTCTACTCTTCAATCATTTCCTCTTTCGGACATGTACTATTCTATTTCACTTTGATATCTTTGTTGAGAAATGCAACAACTTTTGTGCGAGATCATACCCTGATATGTATATCTGCGAAAAAGAAACAACTCAGTCCGTAGACCCTTTTTAAAATTAATGAAAAACTATCAACCTATTATTTTTCTGACGATGATATTGTAAAAATACACGAAAAGTATCGAGAAACTTGTTCGTTCAATTGTAAAGTAAAATTGACCTGTGTCCATTGGGGAGTCATTTTAAACTACCGTAATAATGATTCATTTTGTATTGTTTGTTTGAATCTTCACATTGGTGTTTAGGACTGAAATTGATCGGTCTCTTACTGACTTATGTGCATCTTGTGTGGATTGCCTCGATATCACCTTAAGTCACAAGCTTTATGAGTGAAGATGGATGGTGGCTAGCAGTGGAATCCAGGACGTGCGTTTCGTCCTATCTGGGACTCGTCATCTGGATTCAGTAGTTAGGTGGATGACGTGATGGCGTTTGAAGCAAACGGTGCTAAGTTCGAGCCCCGAAGTAAACACCAACTCTGGACTGCAGGCACATCCATCTGACGAGTCTCGAATAGGACGAAACGCGCGTCTTAGATTCCACTGTTAGCCATCCTTCATCTTTGCTCATAATGCAATAATGTCTGGATACATTAGTTAAAAATATTTTTAGGAGCAGTATTTTTGACAAATTGGTGACCTTACTTTAGAAATGAAAGGCTAATTATTTATCATAATTCTACTAAGTTTATTTGCAGTGCCTCCAAGCTATTTTTTGACCTTTTAGTATGATATCTTGAGTTAATTTATTATGGCTTAAATCACATCTAGTCAAGTTTGTTAAACTTGCAGTTTGCTGGATTTTGAATAATAATGTAGTTTAATATTCGATAACAGATGAACTACTTGTAACACAATTCATAGTACACCTATTTAATTTTTTTCATACTCAGGTTCTTAATATTTTAGAGGGTTGAATCTTTTCGATTTATTATTTCACTTCTTGCGTGACTTATTGTACAGGAGCTCCTTTAACTTTTATGATCAAAATGCTCTTCTGTTAATATAACAAACAACGTTTTTTTGTCAATGGAATTAAATTTGTTAGGAGTTTTAGATAGATCAGTCTGTGGTTTATGAAAGGTTGTAAAATTTTCTACTGTCCAGTTACTGATGTACTGTTTATAATATTCTGTTTGGTAAGTATCCTCATAGTTAATCAAATAGAATAGGAAGATTGCACAAAATTAGTCACCATTCTTCATCTTGCATACTGCAGTGTTCGATTTGTAATCACACTAAAGTTTTATGTCAGTCAGTCAGTAACAACGTAGAAATTCGTACGTATGTACATCAGTTCAAGTTGCCATACCGCATTTGCACAGAGATGCAGTTGTCGATTCAAATCTCATAGTGGTAGAGTTAGGAAGAGTATAAGCAATAATCCTACTGCTACACCATAAAACATCGCACGTCGGTGGCTGAGCATACGTAACACTTCCCAGCCATCTATATGAATATGTGGTCATTTTCTTGTTACCTAGACCTAGTACTTATGTATATAAGGGTGATAATACCGAAGTCACTCAATGATCTAAAGGCCAAGCACTTGCTGTGATGCCCTACGGTCCTGTGTTCAAACCCTATGCGGTTGTGGACACATTGCTAAGAGATCCTATATGAGGACAAAACAACTTTCCAGTGCTGCTTGGTTCCCTCTAGTTGTTTCACTTAAGTCAGTTTGTGATGTATAGCTGTGAATCCTAATACTGAAAGACATATTTTGTATTCTCACAACTAAGTTCATAGTTTAAGTTTCATCACCTGTAAATTATTTATTTTCTATGTTGTTTGGATAGTTACATATCCAGGCGTTGGAAGTGATCTACCGGGATCTGAATTACTCTCTAGAACTATTCAAATAAAAAAATACTTGTATTCTTTCAATATCATTTTTATACTCTTCGAATTGCAAACTACAACCTCATCAAGGTTAAATTCTTTTTAATTTTCTCAAACATTCGTGATCGTTTAATTTCTTTTCTCTCAATTTATATTAAAGTGCGTGTTATACATAATCAAAACAAGCATAAAGTTTCATGAAATATCAGTGGAATTTATTTTTCCTCTAACAGTAATTGGAGAAGAAAACGATAAAATATACGAATAAAATAATGAAGACTTCAATTGTTTGCTAAAAGAATTTCATTTAATTATATACTTTTAATTTTATTCATTGTATCCTTTTTTTTTAAAAATGAAATGTAACTCATGATGTATAAGATTTTGTTGATTTTATTTTTTGCTTGCTTCTTAATAAGATTCAATATTTCCTTCTGAAATACTTTTTCAAAGTGATAAACATTTCTGAATCAGCTGAATTCTAAAATCTTACACTATTATGTTTGACAACTGTGAATTGTGCTTAGCAACTCCTTCGATATTTCATATTACCACTGGTAAAGTAATTCTGAAGAAATTCATTTCATAAATTTGTATTTTTCTAGATTTATTCAATTAAATCTCTGTCATTATCTGTTCAAAAATTACAGGCCAGACTATCGTATAATTTATTTGAAATACTTGACGTAGTACTTATTGTATTCAATGGCTATAGTTTTCATTTTACAGACTATGAAATCAATCTTCTTTCAATGAATGGTAGAATTCGGTCGATATTAGATATTTGAAACATTTATTGACGATCCATTAGTTCAGTTTAAAGGTTATTACTAGTTGCTTTAATGTTAAAAGATGTTGGGTCAGTCATGAGATCAGACTGTATTCCAAACGTTGTGACAACTCTAAAATGTTGTACGAACTCTTTCTTGACCTCTAAAACTCGATGATTATAGAACTGGAATGTCTTACTAAAGAAAATTTAACTCGGGCAAAGAGGATCAGTTTAGTGCACTATACATTAATTTTTAAGATCATAATATAAAGTGTCAAGTCGCCTTAAATGTATTTCGAATCATCTCACTTTCTCCATAAATGTTATCTCATTGATAAATTAACCTGCATCAAGAACAACAAACGTAGCGGAATAACATTTTGTCGTCCTTCTGCAGCTGCTTATAACCTAAAAACGGTTATTGTTCATTATTTATTGATATTGAATTATTTAGTTCAATAGTTACATCAAAAACGTGATCGATGCATTTCATCAATCGCTGAGGAATGTACTACGTGGCGAATTTTATACTCTATTCGCTTATTTGTATTCACATTATTACATTATGACTCAATAGACTTCTAGATAACAAGTCGTACAGTTTCAACTGAATTAGTGGATGCCACTAATTCAAATATTTGGAAGCCCATCAGTTTCTCTGAGGTCGTACGTACGTTTAGTAGGTAAGTACTGATATCATAGTCATCAGGGGCTTGTTATCGATTTCCACAATTCGTCAAAAATAATTTATAGCAGTAAATGTTGTGCTTCTTGGACCACTTAGGCTAATTCATGATTTTTACTAACGATTCTTAAAGAACTGATGTTTTCAAACTAGACACTGTTTAAACTTGTCAGAAGCAATTAATAATTCTGACACCAGTATTCATACAAATAGATTTTTTCAAGTAACAGAAAGTTAACTATTGATTGCTATTTTAAAATATCCGGGATATGTGCCTTGTAAGTATCAAACATACCTGTTATACGTTCGCTTTACAGCACTTATGTTCTTAGTACGAAAGCAATGAATAAGTGATATTTATGCATGAGTTATTTGATTAATTTACCGAGAGTCTGTACTTCTTATCATTCGTAATATTTCACTTTAGGAGTAAGATTGCTACAAAGAAACGATAAAGCTGAAGACTATGTACCTAACACCGCTTATATTAAAAACTATTAAATAGCCATCCTTTTTCAATATCTGCTCTTCTGAAAATCGTATCACAATAGCTCCATAAAGGTTTCTTTACTGGTCTACGAATAGCACCGATTACATTAATGTTAGTGATGATATCTAGCCATCTCGAACTTGGTAAAAGAAGTTGCATTTGATGCAGTATCCTTTTGATTAAGAACTGAGTCAGTTAACTTCTGAGTTACTGGTTGTCAAAATGTACATCTATTATTTCTATGTCACTAACCATCTATTTTACAAAAACTGGTAAACTCATTTTTGTATTTTTATGCCTTAAATAAATAAATAACCAAGTGGAAAATCCTTTTTAATCATCGTTTTTTATCAAAGTTCTTGTTCTTGATTTAATACCTAGACAGAATATTTAGTATCACCCTTAGTTAGCATATAAGTAGTATAGTGCGGTTTATCATCATAATTTATCTAATTCATTTCCAAGTAGTAATTTATTCAAGTTTAACACAATTAGTATGAATTTTTATGATTCTCGATTTCCTGGCCGATGCACATTGCGTTACCTGCTTCGGTTTGGGCACCAGGACAGTATTCCAACCTTCATACACATCGAATGGTTTTTGTGGCGATTATGTGTTCACTGCCTTTTACCAATGTTTATGTGTTTAAATAAAGAAATAAGAACAGAACGTTAACTGATTTTCATTGTATTCCGAAGACTTTTTAATATTGCTTTAGATTATAACTTTCAATATATCGTTAATTTAGATATGGAAATACTGTTAACTAATTGGAAGATTTATACGCAAACTTAAAATGTTTGAATGAAATTGTTGTGCAAAGTTCTTTTTTTCACTTCGTCTCGGCGTCGCATACTTTAAAATGAACTATTTTGAAAGAATAAAATGTATAAATAAGTTTCACTGATGAATATTCGTAGATGCATATTATTAAAACAATGTATGCAATAAATTAAGGATAAGAGCGAGAGAGAGAGAAGAGAAGGTTCCATAGGCAAAACTGGATTTAATATATATTAGGAGTTTATATTTGATTATACTTGTTAATTCCTTCATTATTTAATGAGATCTGTAAAAGCAACTTCCCATGGGGATATATTTTTCGTCAATCTAGGCAAAGTATTTTGATGAATATTAGTTGATCATAAGTTATTGGTTCATTGTATACTAAAAAAAACAGCATAATTTTATATTGGCATGACCAGGTGTTAAACTTATGGTAAGTGGAATAAAAACTAGAAAGTATATTCACATTATGACAAAGCTAATTAGTGATTATGCTACTTCTTATTCGGCGATATATATATATATAATCGTTTTTTTAGATCATGTCTCTAGGGAAATACTACTAGCCTTGAGGTTATAAACCAAATATAGATTCTGGCTAGAGATATACCCATATATATGTATGCATATACCACTGAAAATAAAGGAACACCAAAGACACATTGTGCGCTAGTTTGGAACTCCTCCTAGTGTTCTCTCAATCTCTACCCAAATTATAGGTAGAAACCATTAAGTTCCACGATATTGCTTGAGTTTTATTGAGTCTTGACTGCCCGGTACGTTGTGGTTAATTTATACTATTTTATTTTTCTGCCAAAAATTTTGATTAGTTTCGGTTGAGGTTATGCAGGTAATCATACAATGTAATTATATATTCCTAACTAGAAATGTTTATTTGCAGTATATCTATTGAACATATTATCACTAATGCATTCGACCTTTGAATATTGAGTTTAAAGATTGTGGACAATTATCCAGTATTGTTAAATTATTCGTACCGGAAAACATATTTTATGGGGTAAATAAAGAAGATATTAGTTCGGATATAAGTCACTTAACAGTGATTGGGAATACATTCCCATCACACATGTGCTAATCAAAACAGGTTGAAGAGAAATGGTGATGTTCAACTAGCCACCTCTTTTCAAAGGTTTGTCAACAAATAATTGGACCTTATTTCAATCCACTCTGTTTATATCACATGTAGCTTTACTCTGACAGCAACTAATTTAAATGTTTTCACATCACAACTATCTTTTTGATGATTTTCATTTTACTTTCTCACGTTTTAAAACATTTTTCAGTTTGTATTATTATTTTTCATAAATAAATTAGTTGAAATATCTTCGGCACCAGACATAGGCTTTATTTATTAACCGAAAATTGACCATCAGGAACGTAACGGTACACATACTCATTTATTCTTTTTCACCTTATGAAGTTTCCACATGATTTATATCTTACTGACTCATGATCCTACTTAGCAAAGTCGGCATTTGTTTATGACTGGATAAGCTTTTAATGTAAATATATATTATTTGATAGTTTTGATTTTAATTATTACCCTGAAGAAGTCCAGACAAGATTAATGGACGAAGCGTTGAAGTTATCTGAGTTTCAATTGGTGAGATTATTGAAAATGTAATTTTTACAAATAGTATTTACATCATTGTTCTAAAATAAATTCAGCTGTTGATACAAGTGATTTACAGAATCTGAAGTCATCTGATTAGTTCTTGATTGTTCATTTATTTATGAAACATATTTTCACCTATATATTTACTGGTAATTAGTTCGCTAAGCATTTAATTAAAGTTATTGATCTTGCTAATACAATACTATGTCCTAGTTTTACAAACTACAAACAGTGAAACAGTTAGATCAAACATATTTACGTAAGCTAGAATATACTGCTGACAAATATCATCTTACTAACCAGTGACATCATCATACTATTAACTATACTGTACAACCTCTAATAAAATGAAATCCTCTATAACTGATGGTGGCTATCATCATTTTTCATCCAGTTCTAAATATATGTTCAATATTTAATTCTATGTCAAACTACTGAGTTTCTTAAACTAGAAATAAAAAATAAGATTTCACTAGCTATAAGAATTGCAAATATAAAGTATTAGTAACAATCATAATATTATTGTTATTATCAAAGATTTTCTCCTATTTAACAATAACCTCTTTAGATATGTGAATAAATTTAATACCCTTCTTGTCTGAACTCTGTTAATTCAGGATAACAATTCCCTAGAGATGTGACATCATTGAAAGTTTTGATTTTTCTAGACTTTATCTAGATTATTTTATTTTTCTATCTTTCTCTTTATGCCTCTATTCCTTACTGTAGATAGCTGTTTTTTGTATACAGATTTTAATGAAGACTTTTTTTTATTGTTGCCAAAATAGATTTTCATTTTTTGCTCTCTCCAAAAAATGTTAAATGCGCAGATGGAAAAATTTATACATATACAAATATAATATAAACTAAATTATAATGAAAAAAAGACAAAATGAGTGAAGAATGTCCCTACACTTCTTTTTTTTCAATTTGTCTTATTATTATTATTGTTGTTATTATATAAGTAGTATAAGTGGGTATTCAGTAGTTACTCAATCAAAGTTTTGTATTTGATCTCATGTCAAAAATTTTGAAATCAGTGATTCAAAGAAAAGAAAAGAAATTCAAATTTTCGAACTGATTTATGAACACAAAGGATAAGAGATAAAGTTCAATGTATCAATAAAATAAATTGAAGGTCATTAAGATTATATGTTGAATTGATTATTATTAATAAATTATTCAAGGTCAAATAATCATAAAAATTTAAATGAACTATTTGACCTCTGATTAGTTAACTAATGAATTGATTGAATATTTAATTATTAATTTCAGATGAAATATTTACTGTTTAATAGAATGATTGTAAAACGTGTTTTTTTTTAAA